AAGCTGGAAAAGTCAAACAGGCTTTGTGCTGTTGGGCCAAAATTACTCCAATCAAACCTCCAAAATGGGCCAGATACCCCCTATGTTTGTATTCTATTTTTTAATTTCCTTTTCTTTTCTTTACAATTCTTTTTAATTGTTTCCTTAATTATTTTATTTAATTCACCCAAAATATTTTTCCATAATAAAAATCAGAAACCAAAAAATTGTAATATATTTAATTATATTTAATTTCACCATTAAAATGTTTTTGTAAATAAACTCTAACCATTAATTTAGTAAATTAGGTTTTAAACTTTAATCTTTTTCCTTAATAAATAAAATAAGTAGAATTAGGGTTTTTGACCTTTTCATCTTTTTTTAATAAATAATTTTCTCTTATTATTATTATTAATTAATTATTACTTTTGTAAATAAATATGTAAATTAACTAATTAGTGTAAATTTGGTTAACTTGTATATTTTTCATTAATAATTAAAAATATTTAGAACTAGGGTTAACTTTAATTTTAATTCTTTTCTCTATTTTATTAAAAAACCAAAAACATAAAAAACATTTTCTTTTCCTTCCTTTCTTTAATTAAATAATAATTAGACTTTAATTTCAATTTAATTTCAAAAGGGTCAAAACCCTCGGACATTCAATTTCAATTTCTTTTCGCGCATTTATTTTCTTTCGGATATTATGTAACTGCTCAAGGCTTGTAATAGTAATTAGGAATTTATTTACTTTCCGCATCTTTTACCAAACGGGTCTTTGTATTTTGGCGATGTATAGACCCGTGCCTTGTAATAGCTTAGGATTTATTTTTCCGCATTTAAATTTCCGCACTTTTAAATTCTAATTTGCATGAAAGAATGTATGGCTAACTAAAAATAACTCGTAGCTCACAATTCCCTGATCAAAGATAATTATTGACATGAAAATAACACACAAATTCACACACCACTTCTAGGGTACGCCTCACCTGTTGCCTTACCTTCGAAACGTGGTCGTCGAGTATAGGACGTTTTAGTAAGTCCTTATGTCTATGATCCAGTTGCCTCGAAACGATTGCCTCAGATTAAAAAAGGATCAAGGGCATAAGGGTAGCTTCTAAGGTGTCCTACTGTTGCTCTGGTGACCACACTGTCCCTAAACTCGAATTGACCCGAACACCTCCAACGGTGGTGCTACCTACCTCTCAATGGTGGGATGGCACTACCTTAAGGACTTCTACACAGCTTAATTCCTTAGGGTAGGTAGATGACTCATGGATACTTGCTCAATTCAAAAACAAATCAAAACTCTTTTCACACCGACACTTTCAAAAAGCTTTCAAAATAATTTTTCAAACACTCTTGAGGACTGATACAAGAGTTATTCAGAAAACTTTCAAAGAAACTTTTTCAAACCCACTCACACTTGAAAAGCAAACCTTTTGAAAACACAAATGAGCAAGTATCTAAGAGCCCATGGATAACCATGGATAGAAAGGGTGTTAACACCTTCCCTTTCTATAAATCTACCTCCCGAACCGAGAAACTATCTCATAAGGAATTTTGCTGTGCTTTTGTCCTATCCATGTTGGAGAAAATAAAAGACGGTGGTGACTCTTGCTTCCGCGACATTTCGCGAACCAGCGTTAAACAGTCAGTTCTAAATCCACCGATCACAGTGTCTAACATTATAAACTTCCTTAATATTTGACACGTTATTTAGTCTTTTTTGTTTCAAAGTTGTAAATATGTTTTTAGGCAGAACCATGTTCATTTTCATCTCAACAACAATTTTTTTATCGTCAAAATATAAACGGATGAGAAAAGTATATCTTCTTAAAGTTCTATTTCTAGTGGGATAGATTCCGAACACGATGCTCCAACAAAAGGTTCAACAAGTTATACTAGAATTAACACATATATAACAGAATGAGTTGTTCAAGTTGATGGGGATGAAAAACAGTAAGTAACATAGAGAATTGGTTACCCAATTCAGTGAAACCACACCTACGTTTGGAGGGTGGAGTCCCATAATCCAAAGAAAGGAAGTTCATTATTAGTAGCTTAGTACATTTAGACTTACAAGCAACAACAATTTCATGTTGTTCAATGTCTCTTATAACACTACCTAATATCCGCCCATTTTCTTTCTTTATCACACAACCCGTGATAGGATATTATAGCCACTAAACCCTAGTGATCAACTTCTCAAACAACACATTTGAATGATGTTGTATATTAAAACTCAACTAGACAAATCTTATAGACCAAGTTACTAAAACATAGAGATATACATATAGATTCTACACTAATCATATTAGGGCATTAACGTGGAATACACGACACAAATCTAGCACTCTAAAGTTCTTCAATTGTATACTTGCTTTCTTGAATTTAAATTCGTGTTGTGTCATCCTTATATAACAATAATATTATAGGCTTTTCTCTATGAATTTGAGATTTGATTTGGTCCAGAAATATTGCAGATTCAGTTGGATATTTGATTTGTTCCTTGATGATCTCCAATAGAAATATATGATTTGGTTTGTTACAAATTCACATTTAAATTTATTTTAATCTTCTTTGATCTTCAGAGTTGCCCAACAAATCATATAAATATTGTCATCTTAATAATAATAATAATAATAAAAATAAAATCTGATCCAATCTTTAATCAAAGATTCTTAAAAAAATGCAGCAACAGAGTCTTGATGCGTGAGAACTAGATGTCGAGCAACATGTTAGGACATCGTAACCAATATGTATTCCTTCCGCACCTTCATACAGCTTTAGCAAGCTAGATCAATACTTGACCACTTTGAACATTTCTTCTATGTTGTTGTTTTACAAAATACAACAAATTCAAATGACCATTTCACAAAGAACTTCACATCTAACTTGCGATAAAATACATGGTTATGTACAACGTACAACATATTAAATTAAAAAAACAACTCCTGATACCCACACAACTTAAAAGAACATCCATATTTCCCTATTCTAGTGTCATCAGGTTTCAACTCCTATATAGGTCCTTAATACTGACTACTTCTTTCATATTCAATCATAGTAAATGCCAATCTTCTATCATAATCAAAATCAAATCTCTTGATTATTATCCCAAAACCTAATTTAGAATCTTCTGCACTGACCCATTTAAGTATACGATCGTGTAATATAAACTCTTGCTCAATGTTAAATTCTTTTCCAACATCAATGTATATGTTAACTCAAATTTTGTGAGATAATACATACCTTAATCTTTATCATTATTAATTATTAGTTAGCTTTTTAATTGTTTTTATTTCATTTTAGTTGTTTTTATTAGTATAGTTTGAAGCATAATAGGTGCTCCTTTTTGTGGTTTTCATGTATTTTTGTGTAAGTAAAAGTTAGCAGAGTCAAGTTGAGGCAAGGCTGCAGTGGTCTGCTGCATGGAGGAAAAAAGAGGATACAATCGTACATTGCACAGACTGTGCAGCGCCTCCTGCACCTCTACCACTACTGCCTGTCACACTACACCTTGTCTCCCACCATGGTCTCCTTGTACCAAATTCCTTGTTTGCTAAGAAAATGCAATTGTGTGTTGGATCTACTTGTTGTATGGGATTTATGTGATTCTTTCATTCTAGGCCCATGATCTAATGTAACACAAAACCTTAATCCATCACCTATAAATAGAGCTTTGAAGAGAGCTGAAGGGAGAGTTCAGTTGTTCCAAGAAAAAACATAAAGAGTCTAAGTGTGTGGATAGTGAAATGTGAAAAAATTTCTCTCCTCATCCAATCGTGTACCAATTGATGAGCAGTGGTGCGATTGGAGACATCTCTTGAAGACTAGTCATCTCAAAGCATTTTCCAAGTTTATCTTATGTTTATATATTTTCTTCATTTATTGTTAAAGAGATCTTCCTATTGAAAACCATGTTTATAGCTTGTACTCAGCTCACTATGAGCTAAACCTTTTATAGTTGAGCAATGTGAAGTTAATATTAAAGTGTTAAAGTGTTATATGTTTACCAACATATAACTTTCATATCTTTTTTTTGCATTCTAAAAAACCAAATCATTATAGATTAATTATTATAGTGTGCTCTAAAGAAAACTTTCCAATGTGACCTTTGAAACATGTATCGATATCGAATATGTACCTGTATATGTATATGTACCGTTCTCATGATATTTCATTTTTCTCATTATTTCGAGTGAGATTTGTGTTTTTCTCAAATCACAATATAGTATTTTTATGCATTTTAATTTCTTCATTATTGTATTTTAACATTATTTTTTATTTTTTTAAACTTTTATAGTGATGTTTTATTGTGAATCTAATAATTTAATTCATTATTCATATATTTTATAAAAAAAAGTCTTATTTTTTATTAACATAACTGTATATTAATTTTCTTTTAAAATACAGTATTCCATACTCGTACCGGTACCCGCACTGGACACCCTATCCCAAGATGCAACAATGTGAGGAATGAACATTTTTAAAAACTATAAACTAAAAGAAACTGTAAGCCTCACAAATGGGAATTTTTTTTGATGTTTTTAAATATATTTATTGAAACCACTGTCAAATCAGAATATTATTTTAAATTGAATATGTTGTATACTACAAATTATATATTCAAAACCACTTTTAGTTTGAAAGTATTTTTATTGTTTCATTTAGGTTTTCAATATTTTCAAAACAGTTTTGGCTCCTTGTGTTTTCCTATTTTGTAATTTTGATAATAACTATTTTGAAAACAATTAGACAGAAGTAATGAATGTTTCTGAATAGAGGAACACATAGAATAGAATAGAACCCTTCACTTCATCTCTCATTGACTGACTCATAGTAATTACTCACAAGTCAGAAACATAGTGCCACGCCCTCACTAGTTACTACTAGCACTGCCCTCTGCACCTCTCTCTGACTACATGGTCCATCATAACCGAGTAGTAAACTTATGCCCTTAAAAGAGACACATTTTGGGTATACATTTCAAGTGAAGAAAAAAGTGAAAGCCTAAAATGGATTGGAATATTATTGACAACACAAAACCCTTTGTTCCTCTTCCTGACTCTTCCTTAAGCTTCTTCTACAACAACAACAACAACAACCCTTATTCAGGTAAAGAAAAAACATTAGTCCTCAAAACATTTACCTTAATTTATACTCCAATGTTTTCTTTATTCCTCATAGTTTACAATTTTGGTATATCTATTAATCACTTTCTTTCTGACTTGTATTTATGTTATTTCCTCATTTTAATGTTTTCAAGTCACATAGAAAGCTACTCATTTTTTACCTATGAAGCACGGAATACACCGGACAATACACCAACACTAACACACAGATACACCAGTAATAATTTTAAAAAACATAAATATAAGTGTCAGTATGTTACTGTCCTATCTTTTTTTTAGAGGCGTTGGTGCTACAAAGTTTTTACAACATGAGACGTATATTGAGAAACACACATGAAACATGTTTTTTTCTTGGATAAAATAATTCACGAGAAGATGATATGATCCATGAAAAAAAAATTGTATGATAGGTGGGTCTTGTTTGTGTTGGAAAATTATAGGAATGGAAGTGGGTGCATTAGGTGAAACACATCAGAGGTTGCTTCCAGCAATGGATGAAATGAACATTAATGGAAATAATTACAAAGAGAAGAAGAAGAGGTTAACAAGCAACCAGATTGATTTGCTGGAGAGGTGTTTCCAAGAGGAAATAAAGTTAGAGCCTGAAAGGAAAATGAAGCTTTCAAGAGAGTTAGGGCTTCAACCTCGTCAAATTGCTGTCTGGTTTCAAAACAGGCGTACTAGGTGGAAGACAAAGCAGCTTGAACATTCCTATGATGTTCTTAAACAAGAATTTGATGCTGTTTTCAAAGAAAAGCAGAAACTTCAAGAAGAGGTAACTTTCATTGTTTGAATTAGTGGTACATAGTTGAATTTAATATTGACAAGCAAAGAGCTACTACAATTCAAAAACATATCACTCCTATAATTCCATATATTAAATTTATATTTATTTTAATATAAAATTGTTAGAGTTAAATTATAGTTTGCTTTTTTTTTTCTTCTTTTTAAAAAAATTATTTATTTAATAAATATTGACAATTTATTTACATTAATACATAAATATAGATAAATATTATAGAGAATAATACTCATGTATCTACCGCATAAAATTATTTTACATATGTATTCAATCAAGTCATAATATATAAACATTTTAAGTTATATTTTAGGAACAAACCTATAAAAATAACACTATATTTCATTGGATGTATGTGTAATTCAGTGAATAACAATTAACAAGTTTACATCCATTTAGCACATATCAATTTAAGCTATCATAGTCGATTTTTTTTTTTTTAATAATCAGGTATTAAAAAAAAATTCGCAAATAACCACGTTTCGGAAAAAATTACGCAAATAATCATGTTTCAGATGACTCCCCAAAGGAGGAGCCATCTCACTTAGCGTCTCCACCAGCATTTTTTCCCTAGGCGCCATCTCATTTATTTATTTATATTTATCTATATTTTTGTCCTAGAAGCCAAAGTGAGATGGCTCCTCCTTTGGGGAGTCATGTGAAACATGATTATTTGCGTAATTTTTTCTGAAATATGGTTATTTGCGAATTTTTTTTTAATATCTGATTATTGCAAAAAAAATTCACCATAGCCTGTCCTTATTTGATTATTTCTTAAAAAATGAAATGTGAATAAATAGATTGTGCGATTAATTAATAGTTTTGTGTGTTTTTTCTACTATTTTATGAACAGTATAATAATATGTAAAAAAAACATTACTCACTAATTTTTTTAACCTAGTTTTTTTAACCTAGTTTTACCCGAATTGGTTGATTTGATTTCTGTAGCTGATACACCCTGAACACACAGGTTATGAAGTTGAAAGGAAAGCTAAAAGAACAAGCTAACTTCAGGACACAATCATCATATATTGAAGAAACAGTAGAAAGCACATCAGAAGGTCTACGATGTTCCAACAAACCACAAGGAACAGCAGATCAAGGATTCATCAACAACAACAATAACAACAGTAGTACTTGTTTCACAGTTGAAGATTTTAATTCAGTTTCAATGCCTCCTCATCAATGTCACTGGCCTGTGTTACCTTATTATCCCTAATCTACACTATACAACACAAGGTTTTAATAGAATTGAATTACTCTCTATGAGTAGTAGTACTAGTAGTTACTAGTTAGTGATTCATTGAAGTTTAATTTTTGTGTACTAGTAGTTAGGTATTAATGGTTTGAGGACTGACATTAGGATCTATTCAGAACTATAGTTGTTATGAGTTATGAGTCATAATAATTCAAGGAATCTAGCTAGGGTAAAAGTTAACTAGTAGTAGTAGTTTCCAATTCTTGTTTCAAGTTAAAAGTTTTATTATGTGGTATGTACTATGCTGTTTGGTTGGAAGAAAGTGACTGTTGAATACTGTTTTTTTTACAGTACTTTTCTTTTCATTTTACCACGTTGTTTCAGAGAAAAAGACAGGTGATTCAGGAAGGACAGTGAGCTGAATTGTTGGATTTTTGTTTCTTGTTTTATTCTAAGAGAAATGTGGGGAAACTATGTAATGACAAAAATAGTGTGCAAGGGAACTTCAAAAGTTAAATTGTGAAAACAAACTTGTTTTGATTCTCATTAATAATTGAGGGTTAAAAATTGTACAATGAAGTGTCTATAGTCAAATCAAGTTTTATCGGACAAAACATCACAATTTTTTAGCTTAGTCAACATCACACCGTCAAAGCACTCAATCAATACATGTCTTTTAAACATAGTGCAAGAACTATTTTTTCTACTAATCTAATTTAGTCTAGTCAACTAATTTTTATAAGTGGGATGTATTTTCTACTCTTTGTTGGATGTATGTCGTAACTCATTCTTCTCTTATCTCATGGAAATAAAGAACATGAGCAAAATGTCAAGATTTTTTTTTAAATAATCACTTTTAAAAAAATCTAAGTTACCATGTTTTCAAATATATTATCAAGTTAATAATTTTTCAAATAAAAAAAAAGTTGACCAGTAGAGGATGCGGCGCTGTCTGTGGCACATGCACTTTAATTTTCACTAAGGCGTCGTATGTTATGGTGCATGCACCTATGTCACGCCACAAGGAGTGGCGTATGTACTATAGCATTAGGAGCATGCACCTTAAAAGAACCAATCATGCTGAAGGATGTTAGACCAATTTGAAATTATATAAATTGGTATACATCGGTTTCAACAAATTTGTGTCTGTCTCACCCGAGATATTTGATTGACTCACACCAACGAGCTTCATCATCATACGCCTAACAAGTAACCCCACAACATTACTAAATCCAACAACATTGTCAACTCACTCAAACCCAACAATCTTACGAAACCACATACACCTAAACATGTGACCATTTCATGCCACACACCCAAACACAAAATCAAGAGCATGACTCATACCACCACCAATCGTATGATGTCACCACATCTTACCACAACACTGATGACACATATGATACCACTATTTTCTACCATATCACCCAACCAATATACAGTCAAACATCACACCGTCAAAGCACCAAACCAACACATGTCTTTCATACACCACGAGAACTATTGTTTCCAAAATGATTTAATGTCCCAATTCAACCAATCACCCCACCCACATGTAACCCAACCAACACGACGCAACTATGACAACATGGACACCGAACTCGATTACGATAGCATTGCCTGCTAGGGAGATTTGATCGATAATTTATTAGATAACACTAATATCGCAGAATCCTCACACAAAGCACCTCTGGCTCAGACGAATACTCGGAGAAATCAATTGGGGCCTCAAAGGCAAACACGAGGTCCGAACTGTGGAATCGATTGGCGTTTGGATCGAGAGGGTCAATAAAATCATCTCCAATCGTTGTGTAATTTTTTTAATAGTGTTATAATTTAATCTTTTCTATTTAATATTTTTTATTATTTTTGTTGTTAAAATAAATTTTTTTAAAACAAAACAACATATGAGCCAAGGTGACTGTAGCATGCTCCTAATGCTATAGTGCATGCGTCATATTCATTGGCATAACATAGGTGCATGCTGAAACAACCGGCTGAAAATCATCAAACAATGAAGTCGCCATCGAACGTCTTTTATCCCATATGTAGGGAAAGGTAAACATCGAGAAAACCTAAGAAGGGAGAAGTCACGGTCTTGCGACCGAGAGATCGGGTAAGGGAGTTTGTTACGCGAGGGGAAGGTATTAGCACCCCACACGCCCGTAGTACTCTACGGTATCCACTCTTGTTATCTATCTTATGGGTGTGTTTCGTCTATGCTTACTGTTTATTACTGCTAAGGGAGAATGCATGCAAAAGAAAGGGGAAAAGAATGTAGGGAAAATAAAAGTGTGCTCGCCTGGGCCTTACCCCAATGCCTACGTATCCTTTTTGAGGAATCAGAGCTACCGTAGTTCGGCTCACATGTTTTGTTTGTTTTGTGTTTTTTATGGACGAAGTTAATTCCGCCTTCTGCCGCAGCTCGACCTTTGGAGACTTATGCGTTGGCACAAAAGTAAACTAATCATGTCCTTACCTGAAAAGGGTTTTAGAGAAAAGGTGCCCGAGCGTACAAAATAGTTTGAATTTGTTTTGTATTTTTGTTACCTTGAAAAAGGGTTTAGGTATGATTAGCATGTTTTTTATTTGCTAAGAAAGGAAGTTTTTGTTTTAGATGCACATGCAAAAAGGGAAAGAAAAGAGTCTAATGGGGAGACTAGCCTATCTCTAACCTAATGTTGTCATACAATGGTAGTCCTAAGTCAAGGATGAAAGGGGAAGTTTCTACCTAATGTCAGCATGCGTGGTTTACAACCTAAGGTCTAACTTGCGTCCGAACGGAGCGAGCGCATCCTAAGGGAACATGGTATATACAAGGATAAAGCAAACAAGCCAGCAAAAAGGAAGCACACCTAAAGGGATCCTGCCTAGGTTAGCATGTCGAAGAAAAGTCTAAAAAATATCCTATAGGGAGCATGCAATGAGAGCGAAGTCGTGATCTCAATTGCTAAATTGAGTGACTCATCGATCAACAAGAAAGAATGGAAAGCGATAAAGTCCTATAGGGAGCATGCACTGAGAGCGAAGTCGTGATCTCAATTGCTAAATTGAGTGACTCATCGATCAACAAGAAAGAATGGAAAGCGATAAAGTCCTATAGGGAGCATGCACTGAGAGCGAAGTCGTGATCTCAATTGCTAAATTGAGTGACTCATCGATCAACAAGAAAGTAAACAAACATAACCACAACACATATAGCAAATGAAGTGCGGAATGCCTGCTACAGGTCTTTAAACAGCGACTTCGAGCGCACGCTCCTTATTTCCTACTTCACATGATATCTAGAAAGTGGTAAATATAATATTACAACAAATGGCCTGAAACCATACTAAATGGATAATAAAAATCCGCAAAAACCAAGTCAAAGCATGATGAAAGCTCGGGGGGCGCCACAAACTAGCATCAACAACAAATAGCGTCAGAAGCGTGAACAACATATGCAAGCAAAGCGTATCCGTCACCAAAGAGAATGGTATCCCAATTGCTTCTCAAAGTATGCACATCTCACAGAATTTGTTAGTGGATAACAACAAAATTAAATATGATAATGACAATTAATAATATGCACAAAAATGAAGTATGAATATGTACAACACAAAGCAAACAAGTCAAAGGGAGCATAAAATAGCATTCCGGACAGCAACCTCGTACTCATGAAAATAGGTGCAAAAACCGGTTTAGAAACATCCAAACTTGCTATCGATATCGAAGAAATGCTCAAATAAGTATAACAATGCATATTCACAAATTAAAACTCAATGCACATGCGAAATACAAGTTCCGGACAGTATTACACATTTTTTTGAAATTCATCATGAATCGATTTGGAAATCAAAGTTTTAGTACATTAATCTTGACACTACGCCAAAAATGATTTTTTGTATCACCTAATTTAATAGCACTTTTAAAAAAAATGCTATTAAAATGGAAAAAACACATTTATAATAGCACTTTTTAATCGGGCGCTATTATATAATACAGACTATGTAATTTTGATAGCACTTTGTACCAGAACGCTATTATTAAACTTCTTTAAGATAGCATTTTGTATAAAATGATATTATTTGACTACCTATATAATAGCATTTATTAAAAAGCGCTATGTTATATATATAATATTAAAAAAACCTTAAACTATATTTATATAAAAAATGAATGAACTAAGATCAAAGTTAACATTTCTTTAGCAGCAGCATTGAGTTAACTCAAAACCATAAAGAAACAAAAATTTCAAGGATTTGAGTCAGTTGGCAATATAAAGCCTGAGCTGAAGTAAAGAGGAAGGGGGAAAAAATGACAGAAGCAAACAACCTGAGAGACGCCCGGAGAAGAAGAAGAATCCTCCAACAAGGATCTGACCGTCTTGCCTTCATCCAGGGTCGGATCCAAACCCTCCCTCCTCCCGGTAACTACCTCTTCTCTTCTCTTTCATTTCAATTTTCTCTCTTCTTATTGCTTCTGTAATCATCCATCTACAAACCCTAGAATTCAATTTTGATTTTACAACTGCTTTTCTTCAGATCTGCCTCACGCCAACGACGAGGAGCAGGAGTATCCGAATTCTGTTTTGCAGAATCACGTTGATGCCGAAATTTTGCCTGAAAAACAACACAGTGAAAGTGAGATTTTAAGTTTCCCCAATTCTGAAATTGAACCTGAACATGTACAAGAATCACAACCTCTATTTCAACCTCAACCACCAACAACACATCAAGATTCATCTGATGAAATTTCCCAGCTCGAAGAACCTAGAAGTTTCGATTTCATAAGCCCTAGGGATGTGACGAATGTCGTTGATGCCTCGAGGTTTACGCGTCTTTGTTGTTCGATTATAGTTGCCTTATTGGTTGTTGCCTCTTGTCTAGGATTCTCTTTGATTAAGACTATTATAAGCTTTAGACCACTTTACTTGGTTCTCCTCACAAATTCGTCTTTTGTTGTTGCAAAAATTATTTCTGGGAAACAAAGAGGCTCTGATGAAAGGTTGAGGAGGAGACGGAACAGCGCCAGTGCCAGCGCCAGCGCCAGCGCTGATTCTTCTGATCAATATGCACAGCTTGCAAAAACATTGGAAATTGGAATGGTGCTGAAGACTGTGGCTGATGCTGTCTTCATGGATTGTGCTGTCTATGCTATTATGCTCATATGCAGCCTTTCCCTTGTGCATCACTGATATAAGGGCTTCTTGTACTTGGTTTGAAATTTTGAACCCTTTTTCTTTTGTTCATCGACTTCATTGTTTTTGTGATCTAGGATTATTAACTAGTATTAGTGCACTGATTACTTCTATTTTGTGTTAATTTTATTACTTTTTGCTAACACTACTCATTCGCGTATCTTTTGATTTTTAAATTGACTAGATTACAGATTACAGATTTTGTGTTAATTAAATTGACAACGGAAGCGGCCAGGAACACCGCATTCCAACTTGTGATTGTTTTTAATGGAAATGGAAATAGTTATGGACAGGTTTATTTGGATGATGGTGAGGCTGTTGATATAGAAGAGAAAGAGCAGTGGGCATTTGTTAGATTTTATAGTGAATTTCATAACAATAGTGTTTCTGTAAGATCAAATGTTACAAATGGAAAATTTGCTTTGGACCAAAAATGGATCATTGAAAAGGTTACTTTCTTGGGGATACCAAAGAATGAGAAGTTAAGTAGAATTGATTTGGCTGTGAGTGAGATTGAGTTGAATGTTGTGAATGGAGTTAAGTCACCGAAAGAAAGAGTGTTGAAGACAAAATTTGATAGGTCATTAGAGTTTGTTCTAGTTTGAGTGATAAGGCTTCTGTTGTTTTGTAGAGTTGTATATTGATGATTTTTAGGGTTTTGTGTGCTGTAATTGTGAGCAAAACATGGCTTGTTCTACTGATAGCATTGTTTTGATTGATGATGATACAGTGAATTGGCTGAGACATGTTGGAAGACAGCTATCCAAAAACTTGACTTCTTCAGTTGATAAGCTTCTTCAATTACTTGATGTAACCTATCTCATTTCTGCTTCATTTTTGTGTCATGAATTTTGCTGAATTCATCTTCCTGCTTTGCTCAATTTTGTGTCTTGTTGGTTATTACTCATAGTTTGCTGATAGGTATGATTTAGGGTAATGATATAAACCAATTCTAGTATTTTATTTGGTAAATGCAGGTACACTTGGCCGAACTCTGTGATCAAATTTCGTTATTTGTTTGCGCTTTTTGTATCAGATTCTTTTGAGCTAGGGTTTCTGTTCTAACATATCTATATTCTAGATTTGTGTTTTACAAATTGATCTTATGTTCTCTCTACTAATTTTCATATCTATTGATATATGTTTATGTTTCTGCTGGATTTGTTGAATTCAATTGTATATCTTGAATATGTAATCCTGTGCTTCTGTTCTTATAAGACTGATTGAATTCTGATTTTTCCCCCTTGTATTTGGTGATTCAAACTTTTAGAAATTGGAGCTGATATTATCAATCTTGGATCATGATCCACCCAAGCAAATTCAAGGATCACTTGTACTTCCAATGAAGACATTGATTTCTGATCAACTTTTGAGACACGCAGACGAGGATGTTAAGATTTCTGTTACAGCTTGTCTCACTCAGATTACAAGAATTACAGCACCGGATGCACCTTATGACGATGAACTGATGAAGGTACTTGTTTTAACTTGATGTAATTTTCATTGTAGATACTATATATTATAGATAGTTTTCAAGTTGTACAGAAAAAACATCTCATTTCATGGTGGCCATTGAATTAGTTTTAACTAAGGTCTATGTGTTGAAGTTGTGTGCAATTTTCAATTTCTAGTCCTAGTTAACCGTAAATATCAATGTTGAGAGAGATTACACGGTGGAAAGAGTTGTATTTGAGACCAGCCTGCAAGCTTGTTGTTAATGTTATCAATAAGGAATTGGTAGTCTCTAACTTCAGGACTTGTACCAGTTAAAGACACACCAAGATATGTTCCTAGACTCTTAGATTCTTTGATCTTACACATGGCAATGATCTTTCTTCTAGTATGAGCAGGGGTGTTGTTAGAGAACATAATACTAGATTTCTCAAAGTTAATTCTTTGACCAGACCTGCTGCAAAAATCTTCCAGCACATTCAAAATACACTGCATTTGGTTCTCAGCAGCTCTTCCAAACAGGATAATGTCAATAGAAAACATAAGGTGGGTGATATTTGGCCTTGTTTTACCTGTTTTGACACCACACCAAGAGCCTTCTTTCACCTTGTCAGAGATCATATGGGACAACTTGTCCATACAGAGCATAAATTGATAAGGTGAAATAGGATCACCTTGTCTTAGCCCTTAAAGAGTTTCAAAGTAGGTTCCCTTTTGACCTTGCCACAACACATTTATCTTGACAGTTGATATGCAATGCAAGATAATCTGATTGATCTTCTCAGGTATGCCAACCTGCTGCATAACCTTTTTGATAAAGCTCCAACTCATGTCATAGGCCTTAGATAAATCCATCTTGATAGCAAAAAAGTCCTTGTTACCTTTAAGCTTATTCATGCTATGGACCATTTCATTAGTCATGACAATATTATCATGGATGCTTCTCTATGGACCTTTACAGGTGGAAGCTTGAGCACAGTTGAAACATTGGCATCAACTGCTATTTGTGGAATTATCCACTCAATATTTGGTGGTCAACCTTTGTTAATTGTAGGATTTGCTGAACCAACTTGTCTCATGTACACCTATCTATACAATTTTTGTGCAAAAACACCAGAGTTAGGTGCTCAGCTTTTCTTGGCTTGGGCTGCTTGGTAAGTATATATATAGATATATTTTGGCTTTCACATATGGCCCAAAATTTGACACGTTTAAACTGTGGCTAAAAAGGGTCTAACAAAATATTTGTCACGGTTAAACCATAATGAAATATGGTCCCTGTTTGATTTGTCACACTACACACAGAGCCTTAAGACTGTCCTGTTTCTCACTAATCCATTATATATATCACAGATGATTAGATGGTTATATTTGTTGCGGGGTCTGTGTTTGGACAGCATTATTGCTGATTCTACTGGCAATTTTCAACGCGTGCACGATTATAAGTAGGTTTACTAGGATTGCAGAAGAATTATTTGGCATGCTAATTACTGTGCTTTTCTTTCAACAGGCTGTAGAGGTATGTATGTATGTATGTATGTATGTATGTATGTATGTATATATGGATATATCATATAGATATAGATATAGCTAGCTAACTTTTCATAGTAAAATGGAAAGTGAATTTTAACTTCACAATGTTTCTGATCCATTAGGGACTCCTAACTGAGTTCAAGACACCAAAGGCTGCAGATCCCTTGTTAGAGGAATATCAATTTCATTGGCGGTATATAAATGGATTACTTTCGGTCATTTTCTTTTTCGGGTTAATTTTCACTGCCATGTTAAGCAGAAAAGCAAGAAAATGGTGATACGGAACAGGTAAATCACTCTAAAATCCAAATATCTAGTACTTCAATGCTTTAATTTGTGGTATGCATCTTAAAATTTCACTTGCAATGTCACTGTTTTTTGAGTTTCCGCATTTGCAGGGGGCATACGAGCCTTGGTTGCAGATTATGGTGTTCCAATGATGGTAGTGCTTTGGACTGTAATATCTTATGCTGTGCCAGGCAAAGTTCCACCTACTGTTCCTAGAAGGTTGTTTTGTCCACTTCCTTGGGATCCTGCATCTTTCTACCATTGGACAGTAATGAAGGTATTGATTCTCATCTTGTAATAGTCTTCATTTTCGTGTTATGCAAAAGTCGTAAAATCCATCTAAAGCTACTACTGAATGCAAACGGCAGGATATGGTAAATGTACCATTGTTGTATATCTACGGAGCATTTATTCCGGCAATGATGATAGCAGGTTTATACTTTTTTTATCATAGTGTAGCTTCCAAGATGGCTCAACAGAAGGAGTTCAACCTTCAAAAACCATCTGCATACCACTATGATGTTTTTCTCCTTGGAATAATGGTGTGTTATAGTGTTGTGTGAGTCTTGTTTTATGTAAATTCCATATCTTAAAGTTTTCTGACATGCTTACTCTTATGATCCTTTAGACTTTGATTTGTGGTCTTCTCGGTCTTCCTCCATCAAATGGAGTCCTTCCTCAGTCTCCTATGCATACAAAGAGTTTAGCAATTCTTCGGAGGCAGGTCAGTATCATATTTTGCAATAAGGCTGTAACATCACAAATGTTTACCCAATAGTTAAGTTCAAATAAGTCAATCCAGACAGTCCTGAAGTCTAAAATATCAACTAAAATACTTTGTCAAATTCACAGATGATTCGAAAGAAGGTGGTGAAAGGTGCCAAGGAATGCATTAGGCACCAAGGGACGAACGCTGAATTATACGGAACGATGCGCTCTGTTTTCATAGAAATGGATGCAGTGCCCACGGTAAGTATTGTTGGCTTGACAAAAAGTTGTATCTATGTGTATACATATCAAAGAAAGATCATATTTCTTTTTATCATTTGGTGTAGGCTAGAGAGTTGGAGAATTTGAAGGATGCTGTAATGAATACTAATCCTGGTACAAAGGAAAAGTTTGATCCTGTAAAACATATAGATGCGTATTTGCCTGTTCGAGTTAACGAGCAAAGATTGAGCAACTTATTGCAATCTGTCTTTGTTGCCTTATTACTATTAGCTACATCTCTTATCAAAAGGATACCTACCTCAGTTCTTTGGGGATATTTTGCTTACATGGCAATTGATAGTCTTCCAGGGAATCAATTTTTTGAGAGAATTTTGCTTCTTTTCATCACCCCGAAAAGGCAGTACAAGTAAGTATCCTTAAATATTAATCCATAAAACTGTTTTCAGATTATTTTCATAACCTCTGCATGAACTTATAACTTATATGTGCAGAGTTTTGGAAGGCACTCATTCGTCGTTTGTGGAGTCAGTACCATTCAAGACAATAGCTGGATTTACAGCTTTACAGCTTCTATACTTTTTTCTGTGCTATGGTTTAACATGGATACCTATTGGTGGAATATTGTTTCCAGTACCTTTCTTCCTTCTCATAATGCTAAGAGAGAAACTGCTTCCAAGATTATTCAAGGCAAGCCATCTTCAGGAGTTAGATGCTTTTGTTAAACATCGTCCGGCCAAATATTCTTTTTGTATAAAACAAGATGATTGGGATAAATTTGTAGCCCAACATATGACTGCAAAGTTTCAGGTAATACTTTTATCACTTGGATATGGATCCTTAAAGTTTTGCATGATTATAGTATTAGTGATAGTGTTGTGGGATGCATTTTTTATAATAAATGCAGAAAGTTAGTGATGAGAATCGAGAAAGTAGCTGAGAGTCGACTACCTAGTGATAAAGGTTCTTGCAACCCTGGATCATTTGGCAACATTCCCGAGGTAATTGGTTCTTGCAACCCTGGATCATTTGGCAACATTCTATGAGTTCAACGCTTTTGGATCATGAAGGTGGTTACTACATGGGATTGTTTTGTTATCCTTTCTTATTTTTTTGGTGTTTTGTTTAGAGAATTTGATTGTATGTTTTTGGATTTGGATTGAAGTACTCATAGATGGGCATCTACAAATTTGGCTATGCAAACGCCCTCTTAATATTCTATATGTTATGATATTTGGAAACAATAGGATTTGGTAATTTAAAATGTTATTTGGTATTTGATGGATCATAATATATATGCAATGAGTAACTTAAAGCGTTATTTGTGTTGAATTGAATATAGTTATTTTATATTTACACCAAAAAAAATGATTGTGTAAGAAAAAATATTGTACTGTACTTATTAAAAATATTGTACCAAATATGTACCATTTATTAGCACTTTATTTGAAAGCGCTATCAAACATATGTTATATATTAGCGCTTTTTGTTTAGAGTGCTATAAAAAAATAAACAAAAAACATGCAAAATACTGACTTTGATAGCACTTTAATTAAAACGCTATTATAAATTGGTACTTTAATAGCGCTTTTAAAGTACTATTAAATAAGAAATATTTACAATAGTGGCGCGGTTAATAGCACTTTTAAGTGCTATCAAAAACAAAAAAAAGCGCTATTAAATAGCTTATTTGGCGTAGTGTGAATATTAGCATGAGAGGGTTATCCGGAACTTGCACATGAACATGTAACCTTAAGATTGATCTAAAAATCAAGAATTAAAGTCTTAAAACCATATGAATTTAATCAACAAATTGCAAATTAACTCCAATTCATGAGTTTATGTATTTATGCCAAAAGTGTGATGAATAGGAATCAACTCACAATTTGCCAAACACAAAAGTTGTGAATCAAAATGTATTCCGATACGCTAAATTCACAAAGTTCTCAAATAATTAGTTAAAACCAAATGATATTACTTGACATCAAAGTAAGAGTTAACACACAAAAAGTATCACAATTCAACAATGAAATACAAGATAATGTGCAAAAAACTTGAATCGAAAAGTTAGAAAATTAATCGAAAAGCATCCGAAATCAACCGCAAAAATTATGGTGACATAGAAACATGCCAACGGTTCCAAAAATTAACTCGGTTCGGCCAAATTCCGTTCCGAAATATGATTTTCGAAACTGCTACAGTAGCATAAAAACAGAACGAAATTTATCCGAATCAAAAAAATACTCGCGTGAGAGATTCCGGATGGCTCAAGAAAATCGGTTTTCATTAGAGAAAGTCGGAAAAACTCAATACGAATCAAAAGTTAGAGCAAAAATACCAATTATGTCAAACTTTGCCATTTACCAAGTATTGAGATATTTTCTATCAAACTCAATCAAACTTACTTCAAAAATATTTAGCAATGACATTTGAGTCCATTAGAAATTATCTCAATTTATTGAAATAGAAAGCAACAAGTAATCAACCAAAAATTGGTAAAAGATTAGATTATGTCAAGAATTAGTAACTTGAGATCATATGCAAAAAATGCATTTTAAATGCACAAAAATATCAATGATCATCAACCAAAAATAATTGAAAACATGTAGTAAATATTGAAAATCAAAGATTAGGCCTAAACTAAACTAAACTAAACTAATTGTTAGTTTATGTTACAACACCTAAATCAAAGTTAGTGTTAGAATCTACCTAACCTAAACTATTAACAAATTCTACATCAAGAATTAGAAACTAGTGTTAATCTAATCAAAAGTTCAAAATCTCAAACTAATGTTAGTACTAACTAGTTTTCTATAGCTAATTCAACTTAAACACTAGTGTAACTATACCTAGGGCTAAAAATCAACACAACAACACTATGCCAACTTCAAGTTACAACCAAAATCAATTTATCAAGTTCAATTAATCACTTATTTCAATAAGTAATTCAATAAAATGGTATTAAATTCTCAATTCAAATCAATTCTCAACAATTAAGCCTCAATTATACAATTAAAACCTCAATCAACACAAAACTAAGAAAAATCACTTATTCCAAAAAATCACTTATTTTAAAAAGCGCTTAATTCAAGAAAACTCACCGATAGAAGTGAAGAGGAGGTTTAGGTATAGAGATCGCAATGAACGGATCGACAATCGGAGGATAATTGCTCTTGATCTTGACTTTTGGATCTTGATGAAGTTGTTGTTGTGTTCTTGATGAAAAAAATGTAGAACCTTGATTTGATCTTTGAGAGAATTGAGAGAAAAGTTTTGATTGTTTGTGGAGATTTTTCCATTATGAGAGAAATTGGAGTAAAAAGAATATATAGTATGGGCTTATGTGAGTGAATTTGATTAATGGGTCTCAAATATTCATAAATATTAATGCAGAATTTTAATTCACTTGAGTGCGATACGTTTCAGGCAAATTCGTAGGAATCTCGGTGCGACTTTAGAAGTTAAAATGTGAAACTAAAATGTAGCCAACGTCGAGAACAACATCGTGTCCGAAGATGAGCTCGATCGGATAAACGGTGATTTAGTTATGATTTTTTGAAGTTTCGTCTCAGATGAAAATATTTCTCGGTTCAGGATTTTCAACCACGTTGCGCACGCTTCAGACCAAAAACGAAGGCCTTCGGGATACCGCTCGAATTGGAAAACTGAAAGAAATATTTAACCAACTCAATTTGTGAACCAATGTCACTCGAACCGGCTCGATACAATAAGAATCTACCGAGTTATGATTTTCTGAAGATGAAGCCGGCGAATATTTGTCACTATTTTGTCGTGCGAATATATTTGATAAATTCATATATTCGAAGACTCTCTGGGTAGAACTGGCTTCCGGCCGTGAGATACGAAATGTAGATGACACCAAGACGGAATTTTAGCCATCGGAACGGGTTCAAAACGATAAACGGTCTTCGAGTTATGAATTTTTTAGTGTGCGAAAACTGCACTTTCAGCACCTTTTTCTTTGTATTTTTCACCATATAACTTCCAAAAGAACCGTGTATCTGGAGACTTTCCTTTGAGAATTAGCTTTTGGTCCAAACAAAAAAATTGAATAGAACATCGAAACGGTTTCAAATCCTCATGAATCAACCCAAAATACCATTCCAAGCTGGAGATGCGAATTTTCAAACTCTGATCAGTAAAAACACTGTTTCCAATTCGCACTGTTTTAAATTCACCGAAAACAACCAAATCTTCCACAACTCAAACATGCGTTGAAAAATTACGATAGCTTTGTTGTGTTGATCAAATACCTTGATCCCATGAATACGGAAACAATGAGATGCATGCATGTGTTAGATGACCTAATGAAGGTTATGTACATGAGGAAAGTGCGAGAATGCGTAAACCAGACAAAAGTAAAAGGGTAGGACAAATTTGGGGTATTACACATGCCACAGCAGATGGCGCCTCAGTCAAAATTAGAGTGCATGTGCCACATGCAGTGGCGCATCCTCTACAAGTAGATTTTTTTTGTTATAAAAATGGTTAGTTTGGTAATATGTTTGAAAATATGGTTATTTGGATATTTTATAAGTGATTATTTAAAAAAAAATCAAATGGTGAAGTGTAAGTTATATGAGTCTTTGACTAAACGTACACTTCCACGGTTTTTATGGATTTGAAAAATATTCATCAATCTTGTATTTGGTTGCTTTTAGTTTAACTACCTAGGAATTGACTAGACCTAATTTGGTTGATTGTTGGATTCGGATAATGACTAAAAAATTTAAGGGAAAACAAATTCCCTACCACATCACATTATTCATTAAACTAAGTTGAGAGATGATACGACACAAATAGAAATTAATGTGTGAAAAATGTAAACATTGATTTGTTATGGCTATTTTGTTTGTGCAAGTATACAATATCAAACTAATAGCAAGTGTTAAACTAAAACTATCGATCCCACAGAGATTGTATTAAAGTTAATGGTTTTCAAACAAGAAATTGTGAAAAGAACATAAGCAAAGATAGTAAAAAAATATTTGATTGTTATCACATATGAAGTTGCATGTTGCATGTCTCTACCTCATATGCTAAATGTTTTGATTGCTTGTCTTTCAAGATTTTGGTTTTGTTTGTATAATTATTAAGCCTCATCAACGATTGTGTATCTCAGGGTTGATTTTTAAATCCATTTTAAGCATGCACTAATCAAAGTATCTCGTTATAGTTTAAGCAATATATTTCAAGACAAATTATAGATTTTTGGATTAAGAACTATATTTGAGAATGATTCAAGTCATGCCAATGTTAGAATCTCATAAACAGATTAAATTTTGCAAAAATGAGATTCTGGAAGTGTGATTTGAATCACACTATTCATATAACTCGAATCAGGATTGCAGGATACTCAGGGATCTTTTCATGTTTCTAATTCCAATATAAGCTTCATGTTTCGAATCACAAGACTATCTGATTTGAATCACATTGTACTGAAATTTCTTTGTTATACTTCTGAAACTCTAATTCAAATCACCAAATTTTATGACTCAAATCACATAAATGGGTTTTCATATGTTTATTGTTCTTTATTTAAATCACTTAATTTTCTGACTCGAATTATGCCTCTTGCTTATGAATTCAATCATAAACCATTTAATGTGTCGCCCGATTTGAAAGAAAAAATCCTCATCACTACATCTCCCAATCTTGATAAACTTTTTGTGAGTTTCTCACTATGAGATTGACAAAGAAATATGGGACATCCTCTAAATTACTCATGTAAATCGGGCAAGGTTGGACATATTAGCACATGAGTATGAACTTTTAAGAATGAAACCTGAAGAGAATATAAAGCAGATGCAAACACGTTTTACACATATCGTGAGTCATATGAGGAACTAGTTTTAAAAATTTGTAGATGCCTAAATTGTAGTTGGCAATCCAAAGACTGTGATTTGTGAATCTAAGGATATATCAACTATAGACACACACATTATTTTTGGAAAATTTAATGAACACGAGATAAAATTAAAATGGCTTGTCATAGACGGGGAAGGGGAAAAGAAAAGAAAAAGTT